GCGCCACTCGGTCGGCCCTGTAGTTAATTTTTAATTGTTGTATAATATTCCACTAAATGGAAACATTTAGTGCTTCTTTGAGGCAAAGAAGCACAGTTCTGCTCATCTGCAACTTGATAACCACTGGATCATGTCATCGGTCCAAATGTCCACAACACATATATCAAAATATCATACACCCACCAGCTGAGCTACCACCAGGAATGACTTTAAGCCCCAGGGCGGGTCACAGGACATAGCCCTGACAAGCGAAAACAGGGAAACAGTTCTGTCTCAGAAATTACCTTTATGAGTCTAGAAGAGTTCCTACAGTAAAGGTCACCTAGACAGGTCAGTGGGCATGAAAGGAGACAAGGAGAGTAAGGGGCTGAGCTCTGCCATTACCAGCTCGGTAGCCCTGTCCTCTCTGAGCCTCACTGTGTAATGCAAACAATAATGACACCTCCCTTCTGGATTGTCATGAGAATGAAATGAGAACGTGCTGGGAAAGCACCATCCCACACTGGGTACTATTACTGTTTATCACCATCATCATTATTACTATTATCATTAAGAGTCAATGGACCATTATCAACTTTTCCACCAGTGGTTTACATGAGAGTGAGAACCTGATGGAAACCTATGAATAAAAAAAAGTCCTGCATCAATTTATAAAGGCAGAAAGAGCCTGCAAACACTTACCATATAGGGGCACACCTGAGAACCCGGTCCGAAAATCAATTCACATTGTTTATTCACGTTATAAAGCAGGCCTGGCAGCTGGGGAGGCAATGGGTAGGATCTGGATTCAGGTTCGTTAAGCAAACACTCGCCGTAACCAGTGCTATGGAAAGCAAAACAATACAGATGGTGAGAGCAGTGGATGAGATGTGACTTGTCAACGCCTCCAGATGAAAGTGAAGGCCGTCCTGCCTTCTGAATGGTGGAGAGAGTCATTCCTTTCTTCTATTTGTTTTATTCTTTTTATCCAAGGTTAAATCTAGAAGCTGAAATTATACTTTTGGTGTATACTTGTTTGTGGGCTGACTGGTTATGCATACAACATAGCTGGTAGGATATATGTATCTGTTATAGCATTTATCACATTTTGTGGCAATTATCTTCTTTGTTTATTTTTTACCATCTTCTCCAATAGACTGTAAGCTTCTTAGGGGCAAAGATAGTGTCTTTTTCATCCAAGCCTGGGGCCCTGTCCACAGCAACAGATGTTTAGTAAATGTTTGCTGAACAGATGAGTGAGTGAAATCAATAACTATACCAAGAAACACCTTAGGCCATCTGTTTAAAGAGAAAAACAGCAACCCTCCAGTTCTTTGGCTTTTTTACAAACACTTCTTCTGGAAAATTCACACCCAGTGAGTTCTGATTAATAAAGCCTCCTCTTCCCTGTGGTTGCAGAAATATACACCCAGTGACCTTAGGACAATCACTTAACCTTTCGTACTTCTGGGAGAGAAAAGCAATAAATCTGTGACACAGGGATATTGTATAATGTAATTGGATCTTTGAGCAGCCTGGCAGGGAGCTTATAAAACAAAACAAGAAAAGAGAGAGGGAGGGAGAAAGAGAAAGAGAGAGAGAGAGAGAGAGAAAGAGAGAGAGAGAGAGAGAGAGAGAGAGAGAGAGAGAGAGAGAGAATATGTCCTCAATTCAAAAACATGAGGGCTGCTGCAATTTTTATCCATCCAGATAACCTTATTTGGGATGGCCTCACACTACTCCTTTCTAAGCCAAAATTACTAAGTTAAAAGCCCATAAATATTTGCGGGTTTCCTTCATCATGTAATCACTTTCATGGTCCCTACCCTAAGACCTGAACAGATTTCTTATCTTTTCCAAGAATAAAGCAACATTTACATATTGTCTTTAAGATCCCAACCTTCTCTTTAGCTCAGTCTGTAATCTTCTAAACTCTGGCAAGGATGTGAACTGCACAGATGTCAGAGAGTATTTTTTTTTCCCTCCTCCAAGGAATGTCAACAAAAATAACAACTCAAAAGGAATGCTTGACTCTACATTTTCTTTCCCACAATTAATTCACTACGTGGAGGCCAGACACCGGAAGTTTGTTCTACAAGAAAGTTCAAGCCTTACTCTAAAAATTCAGTGATGTATCTGCGACTACACTTGGACCACATCCAGGGGTTGGTGTAGAAGTTCAATGTTGGAGCCATGACGTACTGGGGACTCTTTACTCCTTCTTCTTTGCACTTATTGTTGTCATCATGAGGCATATTAAACCTAAGGCCAACGAGACAATGGTAAGAATGTCAATGAACACCAAGGGATCAAGCTGTTAGGCTTGCTTTCAAGAATGCACTTGTCTGAAAAAGGTGAGAACCATATGGTTTCACTGATATGGGGGATATAAAACTGAAAACAACAAAGGAACAAGACAAACAAATGAAGAAACAAAAACTCATAGACCCAGACAATAGTTTAGTGGTTACCAGAGGTGGGGAGGAGGATGGTAAACGAGGGTAAAAGGGATTAAATATATGGTGATGGAAGGGGAACTGACTCTGGGTGGTGAACACACAATGTGATATATAGATGATGTATCACAGAATTGTACATCTGAAACCTATGTAATTTTATTAACAAGTGTCACTCCAATAAACTTTAATTAATAAAAAAAAAAAGAGAGAATGCACCTAAGAAAAAAGTTTAACTGACTTCTACATTGTGGATAAGAACCTGAATCCTGGTGAGCAGAACAAAACTTACTACACAAAGATGAAGTATAAATAAAACTAAATTCCCACCCAATTTAATGCAAAGTGCCATTAGTGTATAAAAAAAAAGATGTGGATTGGGCCATTATTTGATTGAAGTGTACTTTTTATAATTGCAGAGGCTCTGAGCATGCTGTAGATAGTGCTAGAATACAGTAGTTGGAATTGCTAATAAGCAGTTAAAGGCCAATTTGTACAGTCAAGGATTTAGCAGGTTATGATAACGCTGTGAATACAGAGTCAGTCAAGTGTCAAACTTGAAGCCAAAGGCTTCCTAATAGGAGGCTCACCGTGAGTCTTGGCATCTCCTCCTTTTCGGGTCATGTTGACAAGTGACATAACCGTGTAGATACATCATTAGAAAGGTATGCAAAGTTTATGCACCATAAAACCCACTAAGGAAGGGTGCAAGCATGGAAACCAGAGGCGTGCCGACTCAACGGGCTCAACTCAAAGATGAGTCAAGCTTCATGCCAATGCCAATGACTGGTTACTGGCTGCCTGAGAATTTGGGCACAAAAGGATTCTTAAACAATTCCAGGTCTCCACCCTCCCACCTCCAGAGAAGACTGTGATGGAGTGCCAGTGTCATCTGGGGCCTGGGAGGGAACTCAGCAGCAACATTCACACATATTTGCCATTCTTGGCTTAGCCAGAGGAAGTGGGGGAAAGAGTGATAGGAAGCATTTCTCAATCCAGAAACATCCATTCTCAGCTTAAGTAATTATCCATTGGGTAACAGGCTCAGAGGGTCTTTCCTCTCGGGGTGACATTCCCCAATCACAGAATGGATGCATATAATTAATTTGACATTTAGGGAGGAATTTCCTTCACGAGTTCATCTTGAAACATGGAAATAAGTGAATCAGACAGAAGTGTGCAGACTTGCTTTAGATAAAAGTAAAACCTGGGATAAAAGTCTGTGAAGTCTATTCCATTCATTTCTCTTGTGTTTGGTTTTTGTTTTAAAAATTTGGGCCATGCAATAATTGCCAGATGGAATGACTGCCTGGAGATGGAAAAACTCGAACTGTCTTGGTCAAACTTAAAAGTAGTTCTCAATGCTTAAGAGTCCATTTTCTTAAAAGAATGATTGCCCGGGTTTCTAGTTCCCAGCTGCACAGTCAGTACACTACCTATATGAACAAACCCAACATGAACAAAACATTCAAACCTTAGTTTAGCTGTTTGTTTCGCTGTGGTGCAAAGGACCTGGGGTTTACTCCCCACCCCCACCATGACTTGACAAAATCGTTTATTTCATCATGTAAACAGAAAACTTCTTTTCATTTAAATGTCAGGCACATTTGCTCATAGCAGGGCTAAATAATAATAAATACTTATTAGGCACTTACTAAACAATAACCAAAACTTTTTTAGCATTCACAACACACCAGGCAGTGTGTTAAACGTGTTAGATGCTTTATTTCGCTTAATTACTCATTTGATCTAATGAATACTATTGCCATCCATGATTTACAGATAAGGAAACTGAGTTTTAGCAGGTTAATTACTTGATTGTGGTCACAAGGCTACTAAGATGGGGGAGCTGGTTTTGGAATCCACTTCTCTCTGATTCTAAAACCTCTTGTTTTGGAATATATGTATATTTCATATATATGACTCTTGTTAGACAAGCTGTGGAGGATTTTTTTCAGGGATATTGTGTCAAGATTTCTGTATCCAGTAGACTCAATTACCTCCCAAATTAGTCCTAATGCTTAGATTCTGTGTGTCTCTGAAGCTGATGCCAGAAGGGAGGAGCCGTTTCTATACAACATCAATTGCTTATTTCCCCCAACAACAGTTTGGTTTTATATTATCAGAAAGCCATGACTGTAACCACATTTAATTTTTAAAAGGTTCCTTAGAAAATATGTAGATTTTCAGTTTCCTTAAACTATGACCAAACCTAATTACATGAGAAAAAGCACCAAAACAAAAACAGTTCATTAATGGGTTAGGAATATACTTTTTATTATACGTTTAACTAACAGCCCACACCTTTCACCAGTCATTTCACTTTACACTTCCTGACACTTTGAGATGGGGTATGTATGTATTACCCCACCTTACCGGTAGGGAAACAGCATACATTTTCCTCAAGTCAAAGAAAATAGGCAACAATTCAGTCCAGAACTTGGGTATCTGGCTCCCGGCTGATTTCTATCTTAGAGATGGTACCCCAGCATCATATGCTGGTACCCCAGCATTAGCTACTAGATGTAGGGCAATGTAATATTGCTAAGTCAAACACAAAGAAACAATAATATATACCTATGAGGATAATGAAGATTAAGGGAGATAATATAAATGAAAGCTCCTAGAACAATTCCAACCACATGGGGCGGGTGTGTGTGTGTGTGTGTGTGTGTGTGTGTGTGTGATGTTTGTTAATTACGCGCATTGAGCTTTCTCTATAGTTGAAAATATTTCGTTTTTGCTACTCAAAATTCTCACTTTCCTTAAAACATCAGCTTTATAAACTGGCTGTCCTTTTTAAGAGCTTAGAAAAGGAGTTTCTAAGTTCCTGTTAGAAAGAGATTAACAGGAAATTAATTATATTTCTTTAAATAGTGTACTTTTCCTAGCCATATATTGGGGGAAATGTTAATCTGTTAATCACACAAACTGTCTGTCCTTTGAATAGATCCCTATCTCTGTAACTTTTCCTATTCCATTTCCTGGGATAGGAATAGCTGCCCTGTTGAAATGCTACCCTACTCTTTATGGTCAAATCTACTCTCTAATTTAAAGTTTGAAAGGAATTTACTAAATTTTATGTGAAACAAATAAACAAAAATGCCTAAAAGAGTCTGTTAAAATAAGTGTGAGAAAACTGAGTTAGACAAAACCAACAGGCTAATACAGAGCTTGTCAGAGCCTTTACTTTATAGCATTTAACCTAGTGACTCCAAGCAGGGTAGACTAGGAAAACATTTTTTAAAATCACCAGACTACAAAACTCCTTTTTTATTTTTTACAGATCATTCTTTTAGAATTAGTGCTAAAGCTCTTGTGCTTTGGGAAACACTGGTGGCATCAGTAGCTTTCAAATAGCGTTCCAAGAAATCCTTGAGTTTCATGAAAACATTTCAGAAACAAAAGGACCGAGAGGAAGCTGACTAAGCAGGACTCTGGCCCAACACAACTGCTTAACAGAAAGCCAAGCCTTTTTTGTGCTCTAAATATTAGACATCTGACAATATCCTTCTGGAGAAAAGGTGTAGGCTTTTGAAATATGCTTGAGAGGTACTAGTTTTAAAATATACTCATTACATGTTGAACTGAATTCGAGATATCTCTCTATATATATGCATCTTGCTTTAAGCCTAGCACACAACACTGCACCATAGGTGCCTTAAAAAATTGGTGAATGAGAAAGCTTGCTTAATACATGATTTTAGTTATAAAGCTAACATCTGACATGCAAAGTGATATACAACTATATTATATTAGTAACATCTTCTGAGAAGGTTATTGGAAAAAAATATAGTGTAAGTAATTTAATCATTCTAGAAAGAAAATAATGCAGATCAAAAACCAGAATAATTTCTATAAAATTTGCATTGTTTTGCCATGTGTTCTAACCATGCTTTGTCTTGAAAGAACAAAAAGGCAAAGCCAATTTCATAATGACCACTTAGGGACCAAAATTAGTAAATGTTTTCTGTGCTTTATCTTGGTTCATTCTCTTCCCTGAAAGAGATATCTCTGTTCCTAGGGACTAAGTGTCTGAACTATAGACTTGTATAACTAGAATCAGGATTGATCTGGATTTGTGAAAATCTTGTGAGCCAGAGCCATGATGGGGGAGCCTCCTAGACAAAGAAGTTACAATCAGAAAAGTCCTCTGCTTCAGTGGATGGGTTCCCAGGAAAAAAGAAGAATATTAGACTTTGCATAGAAAACTTGTGCATTTAAACCAAATACACATGAGCTACAGCCAAAGAGGGTGTACTGTACGTACTCAACTTTCAGAAATCTAAGTCATTTCTCCCAATTAGGTTCAAAGCTCTTCAAACCTGCAAACTCTGTTATGACTCGGGAAGTATCTCTCACCCTCTACAGTCAAGTAAATGCTCATGGTGGCGAAGGAACGAAAGTTTTAGATCACTGTGGATTAAATGAAAATATGGAAAGGACACATACACATGACCTAGTTCATGGGCTATTGTGAAAGCCGTGCTCAGTCCATTATCTTCACTAATAGAACAGCTTCTGTACGGATCACAAATGGTTCCCAGTTCGGCAAGACCTAGTAGAAGGAGAAGAACAAGGATTTACTTTAAAAAGCAATTGTGGCTTGGAATAAAAACATGCAGTAAACTGTTGTAGGCACAGAGGACACACACAGCAGACTCACCTAAGGTGTCACATTTGTCATGAGCTCTGCAGATGTCCTGTCTGAAAGCAAAGCAGACTTAGGGCCTTGACGACACCAAAGAGGAGACGTCAATACAAGTAAACACTTTAGAGTCTTCTAGGAATTCACAACAGCACCCACTTTAGGGAAGGAGGTTACAACAAGCAAACTAACAAGGCCAGGGGTTTGCAACTCAACCACTGATTTAAGGATAAAAAGCTACACCGCAATGTCTTCTTCTGCCTCGGGGGTGGGCACAGGCAAGTAGAAACCTCTCGACCAGGATTTTTCTTCATACCATGGAGGAAGTGATTCTAGTTTCTCAACAAACATTCCTGAGAAGGCTCTCAGGCATTTCATTTCTGTTGAAGAGTGCGTGCTTGTGACCGTATCAGAGGCGAATGACAAGCGGCACAACTGAACCAGCATGCCTATTTGTTGCCCCGTACAGCTTTTTAAATATTTTTGAGCTAGTAGCTACCATTTAAAAACTAGCAGAAAAATCCATACCTCTAACTTTTTGCAAAATCATAAAAGTTGGCAACACAGGACTCATATCCTGCCTGGTAACAACCGGCTCAATTTGAAGAGGAGCTGCCCCCACGACGAGGGCATTTCCTTTCAGACCAGTCGAACTCTCTCACTGCCTGCTTGGCACCTAGTGGTCAGTGGTTCTCAACCAGGGGTTACTCTGTGCTTCCCTACCCCCACCCTGCTACTCCTCTACCCCTACCTGGAAACCTACATAGGGTCTGAAGACGTTGCTGGTTGTCACAGCTAAGAGGGAGGATGCTACTGGCATGTAGTGGGTGGTAGAGACCAAGCATGCTGCTAAACGTCCCGCAGTGCACAGCACAGTCACACAACAGAGAATTATCTGGTCCAAAAGGTCAACAGTGCCGAAGTTGAAAACCCTTGTACTAGGGGATGGCTACTGGCAATATTCAACCTCATCCCATCAACTTGACCGGAAACAAAGATTTGAACAACAAGGCATTCAGATACCTTGTTACAAGAACAGCAGTATCATGATGGATTCCACCTGGATAGTTCTTTGAGTGCTGCCATTGGCAAAAGTTTCTTAATGTTGTCTGGGCATTAAAAGATATGGAAGGTCCTTCCTAAATACAGAAAAGAATTATGGTTGGTTTATTGTACCAACACCAATCATATATGCCGTTTCGGATACGGATAGAAGAAAGAAGAAAAAAACTTTATTACCTGTTCATTATGAATCACAACTAAGTTCACAATAACAATATTAATTAAATTTCCAATACTTGGGTCTTTATAGATGGAGGCGACCTGCAACCGAGATAAATTTTTCAAAGTTAATTGTGAACTCTGTGTAAACAACAAGCAATTCACTTATTTGGAGGCTCCACCTCTTTTTACATTTCATGCAACATATGCATTTTTTAGTTTTGAATTTTCATTCATTCAACACACATTTATTAAAAGTCATTTGCAAATAATTATTGTAAAATTTGAAGTTGCAAATAATAATAAATTCTAACAAATTTAAATTTCAAAGTGTTTTCTTTGGAAATTGCATGGCCACACAACTTAACAGTTCTCTATGCCAAAATACTGGATATTAATTTTTGGTCCAGTTCTTTCATCCCAGATTGCCAAATTATGGAATCTCACATCAACCACACCTTTGCTAATCCTGCTGATCTTTGTGTTTACCACCCATTTGTGTTCCCCACTACCTGTAACCTATTTTTTTTCCCATTATTATTGTTAATTATGAGAGTTAACATTCATTGAATGCTTAGTGTGGACTAGATCCTTGCTGAAAACTGCATATGTGTTTGCCTTTAATTCTATAGCAAAACTCTGGGCTAGGTATTATTCTAATCTCTGCTCAAGAAATGAGGAAAATAAGGCTCAGAGAAATTAAGTAGCTCATCCTAGATTATACAGTGGTAAATAGCAAAGCCAGAGCTCTCAATCTACGTCAATTTGACCCAAAGTCCATGCTTGCAAATTCTTATGACAGGTCTGAATTTATGGGGTGGAAATGCAGCGGAGTCTGTGCAAGGTCTGATTAGGTTTTTCTTTCTTTGCTCCAGGACGTGAGAGGGCTGGGGCACTTGGAACATGGGACTGAGCATGGAAAAGGGGATTAAGGGGAGGGTAGAGAGAGGCTGATTGGGGTGTGGGGTGGGGCGCATGGGGGACTGGTTCACAGTAGTGTGGGGAAAGACAAGGAGAACAACAGGCCAGGGAGAGGGAAGAAGAAATTCTAAAGCAATGTTTCTAAACATGGCTTCTTTTCACATTCATTTGTGGAATACATAAAAAGCTGATTCCTATTCAAATAAATTAAGGTCAATCCATTAAAGGGAATGCTATGCTGAGCCTTAGTATAGCTTGATATGTGGCTAGTCCAAACTGAGATGTGCTATGAGCATGAAGCACATACTAGATTCTGAAGACAGTATAAAAAAATTAAAATATTTCAGTAACAATTTTTTAAATAATATTTGGATGTAAAATAAAATGCATTATTAAAATTAATTTTACCTATTTGCTTTATTTCAAGTTGGCTAGTAGAAAATTTTAAATTATATATGTGGCTTACATTACATCTCTTTTTAGAAACATATGCAAAAGAACTTTTAATAGTGGTTGCATCTGGGAAAGGGCCTGGGAGACCGGGTGGGAAAGGACATTTATTTTTCATTAATTGTTTTTTGTTATGTTTGATTTTTTAAATTATGCAAATGTATTGCTTTTTCAATGCAAAATGGGAATAGAAATAAATAGAGATTCCTAGGCCTCACCCCAAGGCTAAGTTGAATCCTCGGGAAGAGGATAGAAGCAGGCAGCTGCATTCTGTAAACCTCCATGAATGACTTTGGTTCACAGCCAGCATCCAAAAGCCATACTGGAGATCCATCCTTGGCTGTGCAAGTTCATAAGTCAGACAAAGAGCACTGGTTTTGGGAACTGAGCATGCTAAAGATCACATGTAGTTTGTAAGCCACTTACTATCTTTACTATCTTTACCATGGGAAAGCGACCTAACTCCTCTGAGGCTCAGTTTTCTTATCTATAAAACGGGGGTGATAATCCTACCTAGCAGAGTTGCCAGAAGACTTAGAAGTGATGCCTTTTCAGTAAGAAGCACATTGTCTAACACAGAATAAACACTCAATATTGATAAACATTACTGTCATCATAAAAAAGCAACCAATGAATAACCAATCTTATTTTCTCTTCAGTCACTTGCGTGAATCATTAAAATGCCAGCTGTGAATGATCCCGCAAAGCACTGCCCGGAAACCCATTCCCCAATGGCACATTCAGGCACCTCATACGTCACCTTCTGTTTAATGTACTTACAATTGACATTAAAGTTAAAATATAGTGTTGAAGGTTTGCTCCATGGTATAGCACCATTTTTTTGTCGGCCACCACCATCACTTCTACAAACCGTGGATAGGATAAAAAGCGTTTTGTTCTTCTGTGGATCCTTTTTTCCCTTGTGCTGTCCGTCTTGTTGCCATAGACAGAAAGCGCCCTTGTCACTAAGCTGCTTTTTAACACTGCCACATCGTCAGCCAGGCTACTCCTTTTCTCCCATTTCCTGGTTCTCATTTTCCTCTTGTTGTTATTGTGACTATTTTTGTGTTCTGTAACAAATCAGATGGCACGTAATTACATTTCAAGCCACATCTATTTCACATTAAGAACTGAATTTGACACATCTCACAATGATGACTCTGTAGTGAAATTACATACAAAATCAAGCTCTACACGCTGTGGACTCTACATGCGAGCCTCAATCTGCACTCATGCAAATGACTAAGGACTTGAAATTAGCTGCCCTGGAAGTCTCTGTAAATGCTCACTTAAGGTATTAGAAAGTCAGGCCTACACTTAAGGGAAACAATTCCAAGTGATTCATTTCATTTGGTAACAATAGTCTTGCTGGGATTTAAGTGGTTTCCATCCACTCTTCTTTGCCATGGATACAGTAAGGGGCAAAAGCAGCTACAGAGCTCTAGAGAATGGAAACGCAGATGTTTCATATTCACCACTTTTGATAGTCAATGAGATACAATATAAAGAGGTCTGAGAGGTGGGTAGGCTAATAGACAATACACAGGAACTAGAGAAAGTGCACAAGTTAGACATGGTATTATTCTATTACTGTCTTTGATCATTATAATACGCAAAATGTAAGAATAGAATCGCTGCTATTCAATGCCTCTGAATTTTTAAAATTAACTTATTTCAGGGCTCAGTTAAGGAGGTAGATTAAACTCAGAGAGGATGAACAAGCAGTTGGGACTATGATGCGTAATGGCAGATTAGCGCTACTCATTTCCAACTCTGCCTAGCCCTCTGGGGTTCTACACAATCTTGCTGTTCAAAGTGCGGTCCTTGGACCAGTAGCATTGGCAACCCTTGGGAACTTAGAAATGCAGACCCTCTGGCCCCACTCCTGACCTGATGAATCAGAATCTACTTTTTTTTTTCTTTTTTTAGCTGAGCCGACCTGCCACCTGTTGGCAGCTCAGTGGCAGCTCAGCTCGGACAGGGCATCGAACCACTGTTGCTCAGAGCTCACATTCTTGAGCAAGCTCTTAACCAACTGAGCCACTCGGCCGGCCCCCAGAATCTACATTTTAACAAGGTCTCCATGTGATTCATATTTATGTGAATGTTTTGAGAAGCACAAGTTTCAAATTTGGCTTGAAGTTTGTATTGCTAGTGAGAATATTCAACTTCAAAGCCATCAATCACACAATAAACAGAATGAGCACAAAAATGCCTGCCAAAACACATTTTTGAGTAAAAACATAATTCAATCAGTTATCTTGCCTATCAGCTCATAAATGTGCTTTAAAGCTTTAATGTGTGGGGGAGGAAGCAACTTTCCTCTATTCTTCTAGGTTCTTCTGGCTGATTTAATAATTAAATCAACATGAGACAGACTAATAGGAGAAAATAGCCAAATTCAATTACATGTGTACATATGAGAACCCCAAATACATGAGAGAGTTTGAGATACCACACCCCCCCACATACATGAGAAGTTCAGAGACAGAAAGGTTTTTGCTTAGGGGTGGGGGTGGGGTGGGGACATGAGAGTTGATAGCTAAAGGGTACAGGGTTTCTTTTTCAAGTGATAAAAAAATGTTCTAAAATTGACTCTGATGGTGGTTGCATGTATCTGTGAATACACTAAAAGCCATTGAACTGGATACTTTAAATAGGTGCACTAAGGTACGTGAATTATATCTCAATAAAGCTGTTTTAAAAAGAATATATTGGGTTGCTGGAAAAGTCATGACGTATTTTGTCTATGTTTTTCAAAGGTCATTTACTTATATAAAGAACAAAGATCAATCAATGAATGATATATCACCCGTTTTGTTCAATATCCTTTTGCCATCTTTCAGTGAGCTTCATAATTCCTTGTTCATAGAAGGACCTGTCTTGATTTGGAAAAACCTGAACAAGGTGCTGATTTACAGCCTCATCTGAATTGAATGTTATACCACGCAAGGAGTTTTGAAGAGAGCGAGACAAGTGGAAACACATCGATTCCAAGCTCCAATAATTTTTGATGGGTGATCAAACTTTTGTGTGGTCACGTGTTGTTGCGATGGAACACAACTCCTTTATAATTAACAAGCTCTGAACCTTTCTGGATGATGGATTCATTCAAACTGTCCAATTGCCGACAGTACACATTCAAAATGTTTGGTTCCTTGGTAGGAGCTCGAAAAACATGACACCTTTAAAATCCCACCACACCGAGAGCATAACCTTCCTCTGATGAATGTCTGCTATTGATGTCATTTGAGGATAATCATCAAGTCAGGACCAAGACCGTTTGCGCACCACATTGTTGTAAACAATCCACTTCTCATCACCAGTTATCAGTCACTTCACAAAAAAAGGATCGTTTTCTTCACGTTTAATGAGCATACTGCAGATGTTTATAGGCACCGTCAAATGAACTTCTAGTTTATGCGGAACCCAAATATCGAGCTTGTTTATGTATCCCAGCTTCTTCAGGTGGTCATGAATGCTTGAATAATGGATGTTCAATGTTTCTGCAATCTCTCGTGTCGTGTAACATTGACTCGATCAATGCCTTTATTTTGTCGTCATCAACCTCAGTGGGCCTCCCTGACCGAGGAGCGTCATTGAGATCAAAATCACCAACACAGAATTTCGTGAACCATTGTTGGCAATGATGTTCTTGTAGAGCATTGTCACCGTAAACTTTATGCAACTTTTCACAAGCTTGACATGTGTTCTTCCCTTTATGGAAGTAAAACAGTAAAATATGGCAAACATGCACAGTTTGGTCTTCCATCTTCAATTTGTTGTAAATTCTCCAAAACTCAACCAAATAGCTCAATTTTGTTTTAGAATGAAGCTAGAACTGTCAGATGTCAAATGACATAGCAATAATATAGACTAGTACTTCCAAAAATGAACTAGTGCCATCTGTTGCAAACATGCGACATGACTTTTCCGACAACTTAATATGTCACTTAGTTTGTGAAAAGTAAGTAATCCTTACTTAATGTCTTCTGAATATTTTGACTTTTTGGATTTATTTATAGAAAAGAAAAGAATACCTGCACTGAGAAAAACTCAAGACATTGTACAGAATTCACTCTTTTTGGCCACTAAGGGGAAAAAAATATAGTCTTAAAGAATTATCAGATGGGACTTGGGCATAAGAAAACCAGAGGATGAATTAAGGAACTAACTGGAAACAAGGAACACTTATTTAAATTAAAAAATTGAAAAGAATTAGGCACCAGCCCTACTCACTAAAAGGCTATAATTTCTAACAGAGAATAATCCATGTAAATTCTAACATACCTGGAAGACATTTCATTAACAAGTAACCTGTGTTACTTGTTATTCATAAATAATAAACAATAATAAACTGAATTATTATTCAGTACACTTTATGTGGTGTGAACATGCAGGAATAGAAGTGTTTCTTTAGAGTCGAAAACATCTTGTAGTACCTAATACTTCCCTTTCTTTTACCGCTCTGACCTTTTATTCTAATAGGTTACAATCATATTTATTGACCTAATTAGCCTAACTAATTTCTACCACATTAATCATTTTAGCAAGCAATTCTGTATTTAGCTTTAAAAATAGTATTAGTTTCAAAAACAACCAAAAAGCCAACCTGCTAAATGGGAGAAGATATTCACAAATGATATATCTGATAAAGGTTAATATTCAAAATTTATAAAGAACTCACGCAACTCAACACCAAAAAAACTATTCAATCAAAAAATGGGCAGAGGACCTGAATAGACATTCCTCCAAAGAAGACATACAGATGGCCAATACACATATGAAAAATGCCCAATGTCACCAATCATCAGAGAAATAAATGCAAATTAAAACAACAATGGCATATCACTTCACTTCACGCTTGTCAGAATGGTTATCAGCAATAAATCAACAAACAAGTGCTGTCGAGGATGTGGAGCTAAGGGAACCCTGGTGCACTGTTGGTGGGATTGCAAATTGGTGCAACCACTATGGAAAAAGAGTTTGGAGGTTCCTCAAAAAATTAAAAATAGAACTATCTTATGATCCAGTGATTCCGCTTCTGGGTACTCACCTGAACAACTCCCAAACAACATCTATGCAATCCCACAATCCTTACGTTCCTTGCAGCACTATTTACAATAGCCAAGATATGGAAGCAATCCAAGTGCCCATTAATAGATGTCTGGATAAAGAAGATGTGGTACATATATACAATAGAATATTACTTGGCCATAAAAAAGAATAAAATCTTGCCATCTGCAACAACATGGATAGACCTAGAGGGTATTATGGTAAGTGAAATAAGTCAAACAGAGAAAGACAAATACCATATGCTTTCACTTATATGTGTGGAACCTAAAGAACAAAATAAATGAACAAACAAAACAGAAACAGATTCATAGATTCAGAGAACAAACTGATGATTGCCAGATGGGAGTGAGGTTGGGGGACAGGGTGAAAAAGGTGAAGGGATTAAGAAGTACAAATTGGTTGTTATGAAATAGTCAATGGGATATAAAGTACAGCATAGGGAATATAGTCAATAGTATTGTAATAACTATATACAGTGCCAAGTGGGTACTAAGCTAATCGAGATCACTTCATAAACTATATAAATGTCTAACCACTAAGCTGTACACCTGAAACTAATAAAACAATATTGAATGTCAACTGTAATTGAAAATAAATTAATTTTTAAAATCTTAAAAACAGTATGAGCATTAAGGATTCAAATATTCACCATGACTACAGACACATGAACATTTTTACTGAGAATCGCATAGACATAACTTGTACACCTGCTCAAATCTCTTGCCTTTGAACAGAAATTGTTAATAACAGAGAGTCATTTTTATCAAATGACATGCACTATTAGGATAAAAAGAAAGTCATCCACAGTTCTCTTTAATGACCTTTTAGCATAATGGAATTGAGGCTAGTGTTCAAATTTGCAATGCCACGTTACTAACAGTTTCATTAGCATGGGCTACATAATAAAATTTCATTCTTGTGGAAAGCACCGTACAAGAGGTCTGCATATTTTTTCTGATCTTCTTTCCCCCACATATTGTTACTTTTTATTGAG